CAATTTTTTCTAACCTCTCTACTGGAGGACCTAGAGAAAGGGACACTTCCGAGCACCCTTTGGAAAATGGCGCCCTTTTTCTTTGGAGAGCAAAACAGAGCCACGAAGTGACCAGAGGAAAAGCTCGCTTGCCCGGAGGTACCCGTTTTAAGCTCATGGCTTTCCCTTTTTGGTCCATGTTTAGTAGTCGAGGATCCAAAACTTGATAGGTCTTGGTTCAGGTTGCAGGTGAGAAAGGGCATGAAGCAAAAAGTAGCCCATGGGTGGTTTTAAGTTGTGACACATGAGCAACGGACGTATGCTCATGCTAAACGATCCATTGTTCTACAAGTGTCACTGTATCTGCCAAGGATTAAGTTCCTGGAGAATCCGCGGGAAGTGAGGTTTCACTTCCCCCTCATCTTTCCAGACAAGAACACCAAGAACCAAAGAAATGATTGATTTGTCAAAAGGAACGGCGGCTGCACCTTCGAAGCAGTTGGTTACAGACCTACATGTCCCTCGTACATTTATGCTGAGGAGCATATGGTCGGTTGGGGCGTTGAACGCTAGGCAGATATCGCTTTCCTAGGTCCCTAGGTGGCCGACCTCTCACCCCTTTTTTGGTTGGGAGGGTTCTTCTACTAAAATAGACGACAGAAAAAAATGGTACCAATTTTTTCTAACCTCTCCACTGGAGGACCTAGCTTTCCCTTGAAACCACCTGTGGGACCCGGTCGATAGCCAGCGGCTCTAAGCGCAGATCGATGGCCCAGGCGAGACGGGGACAAGGCGGCGCGCAATCGGGGCTGGGCGGTGGGACATCGAACCCTGGCCCTTTGTCGCGGAGGGAGGTGAGTTGTGTTTTGGTTGGTGTGTGCGTGTGTGTTTTGGGTGGTTTTTGGGGTGGTTTGTTTGCTTATGTTTTTTTTGAGGGTGCTGGGTTGGGTTTGGGTGGTTTTGGGAGCGCTGGGGGGGGGGTTGGTGGTTTTGGTTGGTCCAGGAGCTGTTCCACAGTTCCACATCCCTTTGGACATCCAGGGCGAATTTAGCGTGATTTAAAACATATTTGGACAACATGAGGGAAATAATTCAAGCAAAACGAGACGTGAGTGAGTTGCGACTTTGATTTGGGGAGGTCCTTCTTCAATGGAATCATGGGCGTCCGAAAGCTGTTCGTAGCATTTTGGATGCCAGACTCAGACAGGTACCCTTGGCAACTCAGCGATGTTAGTCGAAGCCCTCGGAAGTTTTGCATCCCCAGCTAGCCTCAGGCAGTTCCACGCTTGTTTCCTTTTCTTCACAGGTGCCTTAGTGGACCCAAGTGGAACCTTGTGCCAAGCATTTGACCCAAGAAAGCTAATCAAAACCAGGGCGGTCCTTCAGAGTTTTGATTGTCCCGCGCAAGTTGCCTCTTTGGTCGCCGTCTACATGATGTCGGCCCTAACAACGGGATGTTGGGTTTCCCTTTCGGGTCCCCAATTGGACAACCATCGGCCACGGATCTGGCGAGACTGTGGGAGTTAGCCATTTTTCAACCTGCAAGTTTCAACCATAGTCTCCCCCGCGTTGTGGGTATGCGTAGTGTTTCCGAAATTGACCGGCAGTTTGAGCTTCTGTGAAGCTTTGGCTTCATCAAAATGCCAAGACCATTGGCTGCTCAACATTCAAAGGGGCCTTCCAAACGAAACAAGCCTTGGGCGCAATCCCCTCGGAGCGGTTCACATTCCCCTCACGGCGTTGGGGCGCTTCCTTGCTTCGCTGCGGGTTGCGAGCCCTGTCAGCAATTGAGTTGTGAAACCATGTGAAACCAACAAACAACAAACAACCAACAGCCACTTGTGTGTTGTAAACACCAACAAAAACGAGGGCGTTATTTTCCCCATGGATATCGTGGGCATTTGTGGGATTTTGATGGAAGGCCCAAAGGCATGGCGCCCCACCGATTTCGGGCGGAAACATGGTCGGGGCTGTGGAATTCAGGTGCCAACACCCTGTGTCTACGTTCTCCAAGTGGAAACAGGTTCTTCCATTTGTTAAGAATATCCGCTATTTTCCCCTGTTGGTTTTAAGGGGAATCTATCACTACTGGAAATAGTTTTCATTTTTTCCAGGGGACTTAAGCAAATGGAGGGGTTTGGGGCCCATGTGAACTTTCCTTTCAATCTGAAGGAGTGCAAGATGTTTGCATTTGAAACCGAATTGGCTCATAAGATGATGTGTGGGTGTCTGACTTTTGACAAGCGCAGAGGGTCCTAAGTACCCCATATTTACGGTTTTGGGTTTGGTTCAAGGGGACTCGTCAATTACAGGTTCCTCAAATTCGCAAATATGAGCTTGGCAGTTCTTGGCCATTCCCTGAGACCTTTTTGCTTTCCCAGAGGCTCCTGGCTTCGGCTTTCAATGGAAAACCCGACCCCTCCATCCCCGGAGGTGGTTGGGGGTCTCAAAACCAGGTTATCTGAAGGCCCTAAATCAATCGAATTGGAGCCTCTGGGTTGTGAAAGTTTGACTTTTAGCAAGAGATCAAGGAACCACTAAGAACACGAGGCTCATAGCAAGAGAGCCTAGAAGTAATGCGTGATGATCTCGCCGAGTGTTGGCATACCGCGGTCCTGTTAGCAGGAGGGCGAGATCATTGCGCTGCAGCACCTGAAATCCACCAAGAGTCGGGCTCAGGTGCACCGAACTCGGGGGGAATCCTGCAGTATTCGCAGGTTGATCCTGGCAGAAAAGCAAACCAACACGGATGTGCTCGTGTTTGTGTTCTGGCCTCAAGTTACGTCACTTGAGGCCAAAGGGATGTGGTTCAAACATGGTGTTGGAGTGGACCAAGCAGGTTCTAATCAGCGGATTTCAGCAACAAATGTGTGTAGCATCCCAGAGCCCATTTGCCAGAACTCAGAACCAGGGTCTCCGAAGTTCCAGGCAGGATGTATTTTCGGCTGAAGATGCAACGCTCGACGGTTGAATTCTTAGTTGTTACAAGGAAACTAAGCTGAATCTGTGCCGATCGACAGGGCTTCCCTTGTTGCCTGCTGCCAATGTTGAAGGAATGAAACTGTTCACTTGGCGACTGATGCAGTTGTACCGTTGCAACTTTCCGTGATACCAATGGGAATCCCTTCCAAGTGAAAAACGTGCCATGAGGCATATTGTAGTCAAGTGGAAGGGGGCGTGGTAGGTGAATCCCCCCCACAGAATCAACAGGGTCGTGGGCTCCCCACTTGCAACATAACATCTACAAATACCTGCACAAGTAGATTGTCAATCTTCTGCTATTGCCACTTGTCTTGGGAAGTTTGGCATACCTGGAAGAGGCACTGTTCTGTTTGGGTGGGGGCCATTGATCTCTTCCATTGAGGTAGTCAGATGTGAACGGTCAACGCTTTCAAATGCAAAAATTGAATGAACGTCCGACGCCACGCAAGCCACACATCGGCAGGGCTTATCTTTTGTGACCTGGTTTGGTCCAAAGGCATGGGATCTGGCGAGTTGTCATCAAAGGCTCCCTTTGAAAGAAATGGAACATATGGGTGTGGCTCAAAATTATACAGGAGGGGTTACGCAGGTTTTGGTCCATGTTTCCACTTACCAATGTTCCATTTCGGTACCGGTTTTTTGGGCCACAGCCATATCCCTTCCTATGAATCTAGAATCATCCTCTGGACACCAAGCAAATCATAGCCCGCAGAAAGTGCACTTGCCCTTCCATTTCTTGACCATGGGGTGCCTGGCGGGTTCCGAAGAAGCGCCCCAAATTGAAAATAGATGCCCTCCATTGACTCGAGGGTATGTCCAATAGGGGACCCGCAAAATGGTGGTACTCTTTACATTCTGCTTTGAACCCATACAAAGCCGCTTGCGCCAAAGAAAGCTAATTCCCGTGCAACGACTGAAACTTGCCCAAAGCCACACTGAAATGTCGCAGCAGGTTGATCCCCAGTGCCTAGAAAGCATGTGCTGGTTCTCAGAGAGTTTCCAGAAACCACCAGTTGGATGGTTGATCGGGGTCATTCAACCTGAAAACCCGCAAGATGATTTCCCTGAGATGGCATGTGCCGAGCGCCTGTCACTTCGAGTCGTGCTTGGTATATGTGGTTTGAGACTTCCTCGGCGGCTCACAGGTAGGCAAGCTGAAGTAGACGCAAGAGAGGGCGGGAATCCTGGGATCGGAATCATTGGCTTGACACCATTGGAATCATGCGACCCAGCCACCGATTGGAAATTCCAGAGATAGGTGGAATCATTTAATACTTTTGGGTTTCGACCATTCTCCTCTAGAATTTCCTCTTCTGAAACCAGATGCAAGGCACCAGATCGCATCAATATCTCTGAAAACTCCTCAACTCGCGGCCTTCCGGGAGCAAATGTGATTGCCTTCCGAAGCCAGGAAGAGCTTGTTCGCACGCCGTATTACACGATTTGTTTAACACGTGTCCTGAAGTCGGGACGCAGTCTTCATCGATGTTGCCCTTCAACCCAAGAAATGCCTCCTCCCATCCTGGGGGTGTCGAAATCAGGGCCTCGGTTTGTCAGCTTCAGGCTTCAAGCATCCTTCAGAACCACCGACAGGTGGGCGAAAAAAACAAGGCGGGTTTTCCTATTGAATTCAATGCAGGCAAAGGTGCTTCCGAAGTCGTTTTGCAGGGACAACACCGCTCAAAAGCCCGAGAATCATCAACAGCACCGCCAAACTTAGGATTCTCCTTTCGATCTCTTTTGAGCCCACCGCTGATCAAAAGACTACGCTCGCGCGTTTAAAAGACATTCTGGAAACCTGCAACAAGAACTTGGCTGGCCTTTTGTTTTCCCCGGGGAGGAACACATCATACCTTTGGTGCATTTTGCTTGGATGTTAGGACTGAATAACTTTTTGCCAACAAATGGGTTTTCCGTATTAACCCCACTAAAGCAGAAAGCAACCGAGTATAGTTGGTAACCCTTCGCCTTTTTTAGTGGAAAAACCTGCACCAAGAACTTGGGTTGTTGTTCTCGGAGAGGAACACATCAGACAAAAAGCTTCTTGGAGCGCCGAAGATCGCGCGATGGCCTGGTTCTCAGGGGTCATCCAGGACGTACGGCAGCGGGGCTCCGGACTGCGCGAGAGTCTCTTGGCTCGGGCATGAGTTTCTGGTCGGTGGATGGGGCGTGGCTCAAAGTCCAAAAGACGAAAAAGCGGCAACGGCAGCAACTTTGCTCTTTTTTGGCGGTCCCCGAACTCTTTTTTAAGACCCACATGTCCTAAGACGAAGGAAGCTCGTCTGGACCCATTTTTGTACTCCATTTTCCCGGAAGTGACCCCTTCCCCGGGTGAAGCAGATTTGTGGCAAAGCACTGGTTGCACCCGGCTGCGTTTCACAGCTGAGTCTGGTCTTCTCGACCAGACCTTTGGTGCCCTGTGTGCAAAGTTATGTATTTTGGCAAATCGCAGATAGGTCTTTTTCCAGGCAACCTATCAAATCAAGTGCCAGAAAGCAGGTGCAGGGTTTTGTTCCCTATGGCTTGTTTGTTTGCAGGGGTCTCGTGTTAGATCGATCCAACACCGAGGAGTCCGGGAGCACACCAAAGCGCTGCGCGTGAGCAACGGCAGCTCGGGCATTGAGAAATTCGCACGTGCGTGCTTCTGGACCCCCAAAAGGCTGGTTGGGAAACTTGGTGGTTTCCCTATCCTGAAAAAGGTACCCGAAAAAGAAAAAGACACTCGTGGTGCCGTATATATGTGTATATATATATATATGTGTGCGATGCCCTTCCCCCTCTTCCCCATGATCAGAACCAAGTAGCAGACATGTGGGAGATGCCTCGCACCATGACTTATGTATTGCCGTGCACTACGACTGTACTACCACGACTGCTATTGGGTTGGACTTTTAGACTTTAACATTTTTTGGGAAATCAATAAGTTGTCCACCAAACCACCAAAACGTTAAACTTCTGCAGGGGGTCAACAGCAACCAAGCTACCATGTAAGGCGATGTTCAGTTGGGGATTCCCCCTATTGCCCGCACATGGCTAGTTTGTTTGCGCAGCCTTAATTATGCCCCCATTATTGGGAGGTGGTTTCCCTTTAAAGTTGCACCGAAATCCACTGGAGCTTTGGGGAGTGGCCTTTTTGGATGTTCAATGATTCGTCAGGAATGTGATCTTGTCACGGTAAAGAAACCTGTCCCTTTTTCCAACCAGATACAACCATGTTCATGGCCTACTCAATTGGGGGTTTTTCATTGCCGCACCTTGCGATTCCCCCTTGTGTTGCCATCGCCCTTAAGGCACCTAGGCCCCTTTTTCAGGGATTCCCCTCTGGGGGGCAATTCCCCTCAAGTGGATTGAACATCGGGTTGAAGAGCCAAGTGTGACATTAATGCACCGGAGGGGATCTTGATCCATGTTCTTTAGGGGGCCATTTCCCTTGAAACGAGCTTTGGGTAGCGGAGGCGTTGGTGTGGGATCCGAGAAGAGCGCGAATGGCTTCTTGCCAGCCGAGGAGAAAGTGAAAAAATAGACTCCGTGCACGTGCTTGGGAAATGGGCGTGTTCTCTTGGTGGCTCCCAGCCATCCGGTTCCTGAGCTTTTTCGCCTTGTAGTGTTTAGTTTAGATGGGATTTCCATTTAACCGACTAGAAGTTAGGCACTTTTAGCGAGGGATGTGAGGACAGCCCAGTTCGGAAGTGAAACCAAAGAAAAAACCGCTCCAAGGAGTCCGACGCGGGAGAAAGGGATGCGTTTTGATGATTCCGGGCCTTAGGACAAGCCCCTAGATTTTTCGCAAGGCCAGTCCTGTATTCAGTTGCACCCTCCGAATTTCCCTGTTGGTGAGTGTTCAATGTACCTTACCATGGTTCTTTCTTTGAACCCTTCAAATTTCCCTTTTTGGTGGGTGTTCAATGTACCCAGGTGATCCTACCAGGAACAGCTCCCCCGATGGTTTCTCCCTCACGTGGCTTGAGCATCCGACCAATACATGGCACTATTTTTGTCGAGGGCCTTGGCCTCTCGGCAGATGCGATCTCTGGGGTTGAAGCAGAGAGATGACCAAATCCTCCCCTCCGAGAATTCAAGGAATTCCCTAGTTGTCTGCAAGGGCCGTGATCGGGCGGCAAGTTCAGGTTTTCCCAGTTGCCCAGTGGTGCCTTTTGTGAATGTTTCCCCCTTTTGAGGGGGCGTTTTGGGTTCCGATTCCTCGAAAGTCAACCCACCAAAACAAAGATGCCATTTTTTTGTTTTGCCCCATGGAAATCCACGGGGCATCGGAGTTGTTTCATTTGGGGACCCGGAGACTCCGGGTCGCAGATGGGTCGCAGGAGGCGGAGCGGCGCATCGAGCACGAAGCCGCGCGCCTGCGGGAGTGCGCGGCCGCCAGCGCGTCTCGGAGAGAGAGTCAGTCGGTCGGGCCAAGACGCCCAAGACGCTTCGTGCCTGTTACAGTTCCCAAGGCAAACAAAAGCTTTATATATATATACATATATATATATATATAGGGCCTCCGAAATGGTGATGTTAAGTTGTGATGCTATTTGGAGTGTAAAAAAAGATAAAATCTCCACAGTTCATTCGGGATACCGAGACTCCATCCCTTGGGCTTTCGATGCCGCTTTTGGGGTCAGCGAGCGCCTTCGCAGCGTAATGTTGAAGGGGACACTTAAGGACAACTGGTGGCATTGCTACTAGGTCCCCCACTACTGCCCTTACTATCCTTTTTGGGGGGAGGGTTCCCCTACTAAAATAGACTACAGCAAAAAGGGTACCCTTTTCTAACCTCTCCACCCAAAAACCTAGTAATTTATTGTTCTGCTCCCACAGCATTCAGGAAGTGCATAATACATCATAAGCCAGGGACAGACCACCCCCCCCCCCCGCCGCCCAGGGGTTAATAATAAAGCCAAGTTGTCCCAATTTGTCCCTCTTCCATTGGTGGCAAACACAGAGTTTGGATTGTTTGAATTCCCCAAAAACATCATCTCACCAAGAGGAAACTCACGTAACAGTCGCCAAAAGGTGATGTTCAAAACGGCAAGGGATATTATAGGAACCCCATGAAACCCCTGACTCATCAAAGTTGCGGACCTTACAGACCCCCCTGAAGCCTTGCGTTTGTTGGGGGTTTTCGAGCCCGAGTTTGAGGAAGTGCTGGAGCGGTGGCTGGTGTTGCTCCGCACAGCGCCCCGGCGCTACACGGACGCCGGCCAGGCCTTGTCCTTCAAGCAGGCCGATCGGTCGCGCTGGGGCAAGCAAGCGCTTGACATGTTCCAAGATGGGGCGGCCGGCAACTTCCCCAGACCACCAAACTGGGAAATGGAAAATGGGGAAGACGACTATACTTGCTGGGAACCACTGGCTGATGTAAAAACGGAAAACCCAACAGACACCAGCGGCCCCGGGTGACCCCCAACCATCAGGCGCCAGAGGATGCCAGGCAAGCCACTATAAGTTGGCAACCCTTCGCCATGGTTTTTGCTATATTTGATCGGGTGGTTTCCTTGGTAAGTTACCCACGCAATCAGGCAAATGGAATCGGCGGGCTCGGCAAGTTACTTGGAAACCAGGGAAAACGATTCCCAAGGGCAAGCAAGCCAGACCGACAAAGTGGCAACTCAAATCTGGGAGTCCTGAATTCTTCCCTTGGTGACCTGAGGTAAATTGCATTACTGGTTGGGATTGCCTGTTTGTTTGCGTTCTTAAAGGATTAACCTGTGATGCTGCGTTGATGTTGAACTGGCATGGTAGAAATAGATGGTGTCCACTGGCTTAGATTGGCTTTGTGCCCTTGCCAGGGACACCCATTTTTTCGAAAGGTCTATGGAACTTTGTGGGGACACCCATGTTTGGCTTGGAGAGACACCCAAATTGAACCTTGGTTGTCCTGTTTAGGTGAGTTTGCTTGGAAAAAGAGACCGATATACTCAGGTTACAAGGGAAACCAAAAGGAACACCCACCCTTTTTGGAGGTTGTTTTTTCAATCAAAGGCACACCCAAATGGAACGAATGGAACATTTGGTTTCTTTTGGATCGCTTAGTTTGGTTGGAAATAGATGGGTTCCCTGCTTTAGATTGGTGTTATGCCCCATTCTCCAGAGAATGAAGCCTATTGATTTGCCCAAAAGGTCTGTGAATGGTGGGAACACGACACGCCCAAATGTAGGTGTCCTTTCTAGGTTGGTTTATGGGTTCCTTGGGTCAGATAGGTTTCATGCTAGGAAACCCATCTATTTGTTCCAGAAGCTCGATGGAAGCCATGTTTGGGTTTGTTTGAAAGGGAAACCACCATGACAACCCCGTTTTTGGCTTGGTTTACCAGGGTCAAACAAAAAAGCCATTTGTTTTGCGGAGATAGCTACCTTTTTGGCTTAGTTTACAAGGGACACCAACAGCAAATTCACCACCCATCTTGGAGGAGCTTGTTTTCTTTGGTGCATGTTGCTTGCAAACGTTAGGACTTCAACTTTTTGCCAACGAATGGGTTTTCCGTATTTAAACCACAAAAAATATTCGCTTTTAGCAGGGGAGCAGAGAGCAACCGAGATTATTTTCTTTCAACCCAAACAAATCCGCCACGACACCACCCCTGTTTTTTTGAACAACGACACACCACCGCCCATTTTGGAGGAGCATTGTGTTGTTTTGTTCAACAAAATCCGACACGACATGACACGACCGGGTCCCAGAGCCCCAGCCACCACCCGCCTGGCGGTTTCCATTTAACCCACTAAAAGTTCGTCACTTTTTGCGGGGCAGCTGAAAACAGCCCATTTTGGAGGAGCTTTGTCCTTTTTCGCAGAAAAACAAAGCCGACCCCTGAGCCCCAGAGCCGCCACCACCCGCCACCCGCCCTGGGACCCTGGGACCCTGGGAGCTGAGGTCTTCCTCCGCAGCCACGGCCTGGAGTTCGCCTTGGACGCCTCCGCGCGGTCCCCGGAGCTCCGCAGGGCGCTGCGGAGCTACGCGTTGGCGGCGCCCGCCAGGCGCTTGCGACGCATGCGACGAGACGAGCACGTCTTAAAGCCCAGAATTTCCACCAGGTCCCCCAGCGAAAGGGTGCCCTTTGTTAACCTCTTTTTTGGTTGGGAGGGTTCAACCCGACTAAAATAGACTGCAGAAAAAAGTTGGTACCAAATTATTCTAACCTCCCTACTGGAGGACCTAGTCCAGAAGACCCACTTAAGGCAAATGGGTCAAATTTGTGGGTATATTATATATATATACTATAGATTTGGAGTTTGTTGGTGTATAATATACATATATATATATATATGTATTATAGATATGGAGAGATTTAGGGATAGGTAATATCAAGTGAAAGAGTTGTCACGGGGAATCCTGTGGTCGGTTTGCTTACAACTTGCAACCATGGGGGTTTTGGGAGCTGCTCAGTCCTCATGTGTGAGAACACCAGAACCAAGTATGAAACAAGGGAGTCTTTAGAGACTTTCCCACCCAATCCATGTAGTCCATATATATATATATATACACATACACACATATCTCGACTCTCATATCTCAGGGCTGGGTTTCCCCTACGCAAAAGCCGTCCCCCCCCCAAAAAAAAAAACGACTTGCAGTCAACACCTCAGGGTTGTGCGATACCTGCGGCTTAACCTGTTTAACCCGTTGCTTAATGAACTTCTCCTTTTGGTTCTCGAAGCGTAGTCAACATTGCGGAGGTGTCTCCAGGACATGGTTTCGTTTGGGAGCAGCCAAATTGTTACCCTGAAGGTGATTCTAAACGGACAGCCTAAGGGACCATACTACTTGGACCTTCCCCCAAATGAAATCGATCCCCCTCTAGCGGAACCACCCCCGAATAGTGTGGGAGCAAAGAAGTCCGACGTGACATTGTCACCCTTTGAATTTGTGCGTCCCTAGGCTCCTAGGTATCCAGGTGGGGTTGCAAAGAAAAAGTGAAGCAGGGCACGGTGGATGCAGCCTAGAACTTTCTTGCTTTTTCTCCCGGTTTCTTATTCCGCACTCCTAAGGCCAGCCAAAATCCCCGACCGGGCTATTGAGTACGCACGCCTACCCTGCTTGACACCAATGAATTTCAACTTGCTGTATTCCAGGTGTGATAGACGTGTGGCCAATTGCATTCTCACATGCAAGCTAAATTTGCAAACTTGGCTTGCTCTAGTTGAATGCCGTTTACAGAGGCAATATTGGTTTTGCTGTGGGGGTGCCCAGTAAGGTGGCAGGGTCTAAACAGGGGCCATGTTTTTGACAACCCCTTTGTCTCACTTGCTGAGATCCTGGACTTTCTACTTTTGGGAAGACCCTCTTAGTGCCACTAAAAAGGACCAAAAAAGACCATCTTAGTGCCACTGATGTTTTTTAAACACATTTTTGTGCCTACATAAAAGGACCAAGCCGCTTAGTGGCAAATGTCGCAAGTTTGGGTTCTTTTTCTTGGGCCATCCACGCGGGAAGTGAGTCGCGCGCGTCGAGGTGGCCTGAGAGTTGCCCTCCGCCCATGGCCTTTGCCCGCGCGTGCCTTGTCTCAGGGATGGGCTTGAAGAAATGTCCCTTAGCTCCCCAAAGATGCGAAAATTGGTGGGGGGTCCCAACAAATAATGTTGACCCCGGATGAAGTTCAACCCCTGGTTGGTTTTGATTGGGGGGTGTCCCCTTTTAGTGGGGATTCATTGCTTTGCCACCCCAAACCTGCGAAAATTGGTGGGGGGTTACCCCCACGGTATCTAGGTCCCCCAGCTAGGTGCTCTTTCTCACCCCTTTTTTGGTTGGGAGGGGAAACCCCTACTAAAATAGACTACAGAAAAAAGTTGGTACCCTTATTCTAACATCTCTACTGGAGGCCCTAGGTATTTATTTTTTTTTGTGGGCCGCTATGTCCACGCACAACTTTTTCGATTGACTACCGGCAATACTGCCAGTTGCTCGCCACCGCAAGGTTACCCTTAGCAAAAGAGCAATGGGGCCTGCGGAAGCCAAACAAATGGCGAGCTGACCGAGGAGGGATACCCTTCCACCAGCTAACATTGAAGTGCACAGACCCCTGTAGAAAGACTACTTTCCTCTTGGAAGGGGCCTTTTTGCACTTCCATGTTGGTTGGTGGGAGGACAAATATTTTTCTTTGTTTACTTTTGCCTGCGGTTTGTTCCTTCGAATTTCCTCTCAACCTACAAAGGTCCCGAGCTTTTTCCGTGTCCAAGTCTGGCCAGGCTTGAACCGTGCGTGCCGATCTCTGTCTTTTTTTGTCCTTTTCCGGCAATGTATTAGGGACCTTTACAAGGAAAACAGACACCACTGTTCACCAGCTCCCCGTAAATCTGTCCAGGAGTTTCAACCATTGCGCATGCGATGAGTTGAAAGCCCAGCTCTTCTGAGTCCTGAGCTTTTGGCTGAAGTGGTTGGAGCCTTTGGAGTGGAGATCCTCTGGTTCCCAGTGACTTCCTGCATACCTCACAAGGACTTTCCGAGCACATGCACGAACAGCGCGAATGCTTCACCTCGCCTTGCAAGAGGGCAACTCGACCTGAGAATATGTTCTTTTTCTTGATGCCATGGCAACCATGGTCAGTATACTCAGGAGGGGTGAGCTTTGTTTGGTGTTCTTTCTTTCTTTGCATCCCCATGAATGAAGATATTGGGTGAAGGGTTCCGCAAGGTGATGATGCAAGGGTCTGCTACGGTTGCGAGGTCGCAAGTGAGTCTCATGTAGACCTGGAACTGAGAAGTACGGGATAGTGCACGAACAAGCACTCGTGCGAATGTTGTCCCAGGTCTAAGGAAGGTACCAAAATCACCTGGTTGGAATCCTCAAAGTGAATTAAGCGAAACCGGAGAAACCTTAAGAGGCCCTGAAATGTCTTTTGGGATGGTAGCATCGTGTTTCGTTCAACTTGCTGGAGTTTGCCTTCGGTTTTCTCCTAAGGAGCCTAAACCTCCACAGCCCGCCAGCCCAACATACCCAACGATATCCCACCCAAACCCACCACACTTTACCCCCAAACCCACCCCCAAAACAACCCACCCGAACCGCACCCAAACCCCACCCTACGCCCATCGTAGTCCATTTCAATCCCACATTCCCCACCAAATGCCAAACCCCATACTCCACATCAGACCCGGAAGTAAAACCCAGGGTTTCACCCCCAAACCCACCAAACATTCACCTCAAACCCACCAAAAACAAAAGCCCCAAGCCCACAAACCACCCAAAAAGCCTGCCCCGCAACTCACCAAAAAAACACACCAAAAACCCAAGCCCACATGAATGCCAAAGCCACACAAACACTCACCACAAACTCACCAATTTACCCCAAGCCCACCACAAGTTCACCCCAAAAAAACCGCCCCAAAGCCACAAACAAAATCTACGGAGGTTCGTGGCGCTGCTGTGGGCGACTGTGGGGCCCACGGAGCTCTGGCTGCAGCCGTTGGCCACTCTGCTCAGCTGGGAGCAGGTGCCTAAGGGCGCGCAGGCGGAGTAGCGGATGGACGACGAATCGACGAATCGACGTGCGCGCCAGTGGGATGTGTTGTTTTTCCCCTTTGGCGCATTTTGCTTTGGAGTTGTTAGAGCTGAACAACTGTTTTGTTTTTGTCTTCTTTTTCCCTTTGGTGCATTTTGCTTGGAAACGTTAGGACTTGTTGTTTCTCCTTTGGTGCATGTTGCTTTGGAGTTGTTAGGACTGAACAACTTTTTGCCAACCTAGTGGGTTTTCCGTATTGAAGCAACACTGAAAGTTAAACTTGTACTTTGCTTCCCAAAGGCTCCAATTCGATTGATGGGCCTTCAAAGAACCTGGTTTTGAGACCACCAACTACCTCCGGGGTGTCTAATGGACGGGTCGGGTCTTCCATTGAAAGCCCCAAGAGCCTCTGGGTTGGTGCACCCTCTGCTTTTGACCTCTGGCGTGTTATATGCACTCACGTCAGAAAGGGTTAGCCTCAGAAACGAGAGTTGCAACCGTTGTTTGTTGGTATTTACGGGGGAATCATCAGATACCAGGGTTTCTGAGGTGGTGCGTCCATCCACAGGCATTAGGTACCCCAGCCCGCGCGTCAGCTACTATTTTCCTTCCGCGCGTCAGGTACCCCCCATCCCCATCCGCGCGTCAGCTACTATCCCCCTTCCGCGCGTCAGGTACCCCCCATCCCCATCCGCGCGTCAGCTACTATCCCCCTTCCGCGCGTCAGCTACCCCCCATCCCCATCCGCGCGTCAGCTACTATCCTCCCTTCCGCGCGTCAGGTATGCGTCAGGCGCTCCCCACTCCCGGTCCGCGCGTCAGCCCTTTTCAAAGCTGCTATTCGCCCTGCCGCGCATCAGGTACCTCCCCTCTTGCGCGCGTCAGTTCCACCCCTACTCCCATCCGCTCGTCAGCTACTATTTTCCTTCCGATTCCGCGCATCAGGTAACCCCCATCCTCATCCGCGCGTCAGCTACTATTTTCCTTCCGCGCGTCAGGTACCCCCCACCGTCAGGTACCCCCCATCCCCATCCGCGCGTCAGCGTACGTCATCCTCTTATCCGCGCGTTCCGCGCGTCAGGTACGCGTCAGGCGCTCCCCACTCCCGGTTCGCGCGTCAGCCTTTTTCGAAGCTGCTATTCGCCCTGCCGCGCGTTAGGTACCTCCCCTCTTCCGCGCGTCAGTTCCGCCCCTACTCCCATCCGCTCGTCAGCTACTATTTTCCTTCCGATTCCGCGCATCAGGTAACCCCCATCCTCATCCGCGCGTCAGCTACTATTTTCCTTCCGCGCGTCAGGTACCCCCCACCGTCAGGTACCCCCCATCCCCATCCGCGCGTCAGCTACTATCCTCCCTTCCGCGCGTCAGGTATGCGTCAGGCGCTCCCCACTCCCGGTTCGCGCGTCAGCCTTTTTCGAAGCTGCTATTCGCCCTGCCGCGCGTTAGGTACCTCCCCTCTTCCGCGCGTCAGTTCCGCCCCTACGTCCATCCGCTCGTCAGCTACTATTTTCCTTCCGCGCATCAGGTAACCCCCATCCTCATCCGCGCGTCAGCTACTATTTTCCTTCCGCGCGTCAGGTACCCCCCCAACCCCCATCCGCGTACTATCCCCTTCCGCGCGTCAGGTACCCCCCATCCCCATCCGCGCGTCAGCTACTATCCTCCCTTCCGCGCGTCAGGTATGCGTCAGGCGCTCCCCACTCCCGGTCCGCGCGTCAGCCTTTTTCGAAGCTGCATATTCGCCCTGCCGCGCGTCAGGTTCCTTCCGCGCGTCAGTTCCGCTCCTACTCCCATCCGCTCGTCAGCTACTATTTTCCTTCCGCGCATCAGGTAACCCCCATCCTCATCCGCACGTCAGCTACTATACCCCTTCCGCGCGTCAGGTACCCCCCACCCCCATCCGCGCGTCAGCTACTATCCTCCCTTCCGCGCATCAGGTATCCGCGCGTCAGGTGCGCCCTATAGCGTGAGCGTGGCACCCCCCACTCCCGATCCGCGCGTCAGCCCTTCCGCGCGGCGTCAGCTGCTATTCGCCCAGCCGCACATCAGGACCCGATCCGCGCGTCAGCTACTCTCCCCCCGTCCGCGCGTCAAGTGCCGCACGCCAGCTACTATCCCACCTTCGTCAGCCCTTCCGCACGTCGTCAGCTTCTCTATTCGCCTTGCCGTGTGTCAGGTATCGCCTGACCCGATCTACTATCCCCTCTTCCGCGTGTCAGGCACCCCCCATCCCCATCCGCGGGTGCGCCCTAGCGTGAGCTCAGGTACCCTCCAATCCCGATCCCCACGTCAGCCCTTCCGCGCGGCGTTAGGGTACCCTCCGCGTCGGCTACTATCCCCCCTTCCGCGTGTCAGGTGCCCCGATCCGCACGTCCACTATCCCTTCCGTGCCGTCGTCAGCTGCTATTCGCCCCGCCGCGTGGTACCGCCTGACCCGATCCACCGTCCCCCCTCCCACGCGTCAGGTGCCCCCCGTCCGCGCGTCAGCTACTACCATCTCTGCGAGCTACTATCCTCCCTTCCACGCGTCAGGGAGCGTGAGCGTCAGGTACCCCCGTCAGGTACCCCTGACCCGACCCCTTCCGCGCCTCAGGCCCGATCCGTCAGCTACTATCCCAGTCAGCCCTCGTCGTCAGCTGCTATTCGCCCTGCCGCGTGTCAGGTACCGCCTGACCACTCTACTATCCCCTCTTCCGCGCGTCAGGTACCCCCCATTCCGCCACTATCCGCGCGTGAGCTACGCGCCAGGTGTCCGCGCGTCAGGTGCGCTCTAGGGTGTCAGGTGCCCCCCAATCCCGATCCGCGCGTCAGCCCTTCCGCGCGGCGTCAGCTGCTATTTGCCCACGTCCCCCTGACACGATTCGCACGTCAGCTGCTGACCCGATCTACTATCCCCTCTTCCCCATCCCCATCCGCGCGTCAGCTACTATCCCCCTTGCGCGCGTCAGGTACCCCCATCCCCATCCACGCGTGACCTACTATCCTCCCTTCCGTGCGTCAGGTATCCGCGCGTCAGATGCGCCCTAGCGTGAGCGTGGCACCCCCCCAATCCCGATCCGCGCGTCAGCCCTTCCGCGCGGCATCAGCTGCTATTCGCCCTGCCGCGCGTCAGGACTCGATCCGCGCGTCAGCTACTCTCCCCCCTTCCGCGCGTCAGGTGCCGATCCGCACGTCAGCTACTATCCCACCTTCGTCAGCCCTTCCGCACGGCCGCGTGTCAGGTACCGCCTGACCCGATCTACTATCCCCTCTTCCGCGCGTCAGGTACCGCCTGACCCGATCTACTATCCCCTCTTCCGCGCGTCAGGTACCCTCCAATCCCGATCCCCGCGTCAGCCCTTCCGCACGGCGTCAGGGTACCCTCCGCGCGTCGGCTACTATCCCCCCTTCCGCGTGTCACATGCGTGGCTAACTGCAACTTTGATGAGAGCCTGGCCACTGCGATGAGCACCTGCAATGCAAGTTCGTCAAAACACAGTGAACACATGCAATCTGCCAGGCCTTGGGGACAGAGCAGTCAACCAGCGTGGTCGCAAGGCTTCCGCGGGCCATGAAGACCATGGCGCTTCCGAAGATGTGTGCGTGAGACCTTCATGTAAAACAAGACCATGCATGTTTGATATTGCAAACATTCAGCACTTGTAAGTTTGAGACTTTCCTTCAAACCAAGACCATTAAACACCTGACCATGCCTGCACATGCATGTGATCCTGCGTGCGTCATGAGTGAGTTTGAAGCACATGCATGCATGCATGGTGTTGAATTTGAGGGACTCATGCAAACTGACAACAAAGAAATACACACACTCCCGCGCACCCAGGCCTGTCAGCAAAGCGTCCACAGCCCACATGATGAGCTGCCCCGTACTTGCCAGTGTTGGACATGACCACTCAGCTGCTGCGTGGGGCAAAACCCAAAAATATTCGCCACATGTTTTGCGGCTTTCGCAGGTGGAGATCATGGAGGTTCGGCAGACCCTTCGCAGGGTGGTTGCGCGCCGCGTGCGGCCTGCTGCGGCCTTGAACGCGTGTGTGCGTGTGTGCTGATTGCAGCTTGCTTGCTTCATGTGGACATGTTGTGAGTAAGGAGCATCCTCTGGCATGGAGCCTGGCAGTGTGAGACTCAGCTCCCATGTGCGCATCACACATGTCAGCTGTTTGCAACTTGTGGGAGATTCACAGCATGGCCATTCATGCATGTGTGCACTCATGGCATCTGAAACTAGGTGGGCCCAAAAAACGTGCCCGCGGAAGCAGTTCCCCATCTTCAAGCATTAGCCCAATTAATCCCAAGCCAGGCAGGACAAGCGTTGCTGACATGGCATGACACATGATCATGCCGCACGCATGCAATCACGCATTTGCAGCAATTGCATGCAATCACGAATTTGCAGCAATTGCATGCAATCACGCATTTGCAGCAAGCCCACATGTTCGACACAGATTCATGACATGCATGCGTGGTTGCAGGAGAGGACATTCCTCCTGAGAAAGCGTTTGTATGACGTGCCGAAACAAGCGAGGCCACATGGTTTCATGCATGCATGCATGAATGATTGGTTGCAAGTATGCACGCATGCATGGATATAGCCGCATGAGTCAACGGCCCTGCCTGCTCAGGCCGCCAGCAAATCTGCAGGTTGGCGGCGCTTGCCCTGCCCGCACCGCCCCCGCCAAGCCATCTGAGGGGCCGAATCACAAGGGCTGCACCCCCAAAGGCGCCCGGCCCAAGGGGAAGGTGGCTGTACCCGGCCATGGCATGCACGCAGCCCACACATATGAACATGTTGGCCCCTCATTCACCAGTGGGTACCCTGAAAAGAAGAAACCATGCATATTAAACAAGGCTCTTCATCATCAGCTGGGCGGGTTTTGTTGATTCATTACACAGCATGGACCCACGCATCATGCATGAGGTTGCACACGCACATGAATCGGCTGCGTGCATGCTCCGGCCGGCCTAGTGGTTTTTCACACGACTCGATCAGATTAGAGAAAGAAATGTGTGCGT